GCCCCGCTCCGTCCCGCAGCTCCTCCCGAGAAACCCGAGGGGATTCCGGCGGGGAATGGTTTGGGGGGGGGTTTAGCGCAGAAGCAGCCCAGGCTGTGAGAGGCAGAGCGGTGCCCGGCTGCGCGGGTCCTGCCCACATTCACATCATAAAACCTGAGGATTTGGTGCAGGTGAAAGGGCGGGGGATAAAGCAGGGTACGGAGTGGCTTTGTAGCATCCCCGTCACATCTCTCACGTCCTTTTTGAGCCCTACACGGGTTTCCGTGCTCTGCCCGAGCACAGAGACCTGGGACCCCTCTCCCTGCCCATCGGGGGCTTACCGAAGGGGGTAAATTCGGGCTGACATATCAGGGAGCGAATCCCTGGAGCTGGGTGAGGCACAGAGTGCCCGGGATGGTTTCATCCCGTCCTCCTGAATCCTGCCCTGCATCCCCACGGGAGGAGGTGCTTGGGGAATGGTTTGGGGGGGGGTTTAGCGCAGAAGCAGCCCAGGCTGTGAGAGGCAGAGCGGTGCCCGGCTGCGCGGGTCCTGCCCACATTCAGGGCATAAAACCTGAGGATTTGGTGCAGGTGAAAGGGCGGGGGATAAAGCAGAGTATGGAGTGGCTTTGCAGCATCCCCGTCACATCCCTGACGTTCTTTTTGAGCCCTACACGGGTTTCCGTGCCCTGCCCGAGCCCAGAGAGCTCATCCCGGGACCCCTCTCCCTCCCCATCGGGGGCTTACCGAAGGGGGTAAATTCGGGCTGACATATCAGGGAGCGAATCCCTGGAGCTGGGTGAGGCACAGAGTGCCCGGGATGGTTTCATCCCGTCCTCCTGAATCCTGCCCTGCATCCCCACGGGAGGAGGTGCTTACCCTTCTTGTCTCTGGCGACGCTCTGCTTTGGGCTGGGTGTGCGTTTCATAGGAGCTTTTCTCTGGAAAAGATTTAATCGATCCTTCTTGGGAAGTATTCTGGGGGGACTGGGGAGTGAGGGTGTTTCCCAGCCCTCCAGCCTGGGGCGGACTGACCTTGGTGACAATGTCCCATCACTGCTGTGCTGGTTGGGCAGGGGACACGGTGATGGACACCAGCACAGCCCCACACAAAGAGCAAGCACAATCTGCTCCTTAGATGTGTCTCAAGCAGTCACTCTTTCTTTTCATTTATTGTCTCCCTTTCTCTCTTCTGCCAAATATTGTCTGGAAACCTCCCTCAGTGCAGGTTTGGGTTTGCTGGCGTGGGCTGGCCAGAGGATGCCCCCGACTCCTCTTTTGCCTGGTGTGAGGAAATTCCTGACTGGCTGTTTGTCGGGTCTGGCACTTGGAGACTGGCATTCTCAAAAGCCAGAGGTTTTGAAAAAGCTGCACCATAAAGCTCCCCTCAGGCAAAACCTCATCCACAAGATGAAGTTTTCCTCTGGGCAGGCAGTTCTCCCAGTCTCTTACGACAGATGTGTGCCCACAAAATGAGGTGCTTTATGCAGGTGCCAGTAAATTGTCAGGGTGTAAAATAAAAAGGAGCACTTCTTTAGCTGCTGGTTAACTGCTGGTTGTGCTAGTGCTCTGGCTGAAACATCCAAGAGACTGGCAATTGCCTCAACATACATTTTTGGAAGGGGTGTAAATCAATGGGGAGGCCAGCGTGGGGGTGTTATGGGGAGCGTGGCTCCGAGGGGACACTGGAGCATCACCGGGAGCTCTGCTCGCTCCTCGGGCACTGCCAGGGTCCTGCTGGCTGTTTCTTAAGAGGATGGAGAGTCTGTCCATCGAGTGTACGTGGAACTTTTTCTTTAGTCAAAGTGACAAATAGATGGTGTGATCTGTACTTTGACCCCAATCCTGTATGTAGATCCCCGTCAGTCCCTGTGCCATGACCGAGCCCAGGACTGTGGCACTCGCCATGGAGATGTTACTTCATGTACATGTGTGTGCAGATGGCTTAAATATTCAATCCCTGTCTGTAACTTTCACCTGCTTTTTAAAATATTATGAATCATGTGCACTTTGTTTTCAAAATACTTCTTTTAGTGATTTAGCAATGATTTTTTCTGAAAAGATTACCTGCAGACAGATCAAAGGGAAGCCTTCAGAAGAGCACATTCAGCAGATGTAGTTGCCTGGTTTTTAAAGAAAGAACAGACACCAACCAGTTGAAATATCAAAAGAGAGAAATTTAGACTGATTTTATAAATATCATCTTCATAACCCATTTTAATCAAGAACTCGTGAGAGGAGTCTTGAAGGAGTGTTAGAGAAGTCTTGCCCCAGTCTGAATGACTGGTGCCAGTTTGCCCACTGTGGGAGGCTGGAACAGAGCTCTCCCTCTGAGCTGCACTGGGGATGTGGGGAAGCCTTTGGGGAGAGAATAAAACCCAGATATTGCTGCAGAGTCCCTCAGATGTTAACTGCCCCACTTCTTTTTAGTGCCTTGGCAATGTATAGGGCTGTCTGTGGCACTAGGAGATGAATTAGCTGTACTGTGTAAATAATTTGACTAAGTAAAATTACAAGTAAGTGACTTCTGGAAAGATGTGTTCTAATGCAGGGCATAAGGGCAAGTGTGTGCAGTTCTCTCTTTCACCCTGCTTTCAAAAATAACTTTTAAAAACGTAAAAGAAGGTGCTGTAAATTGCCTAGCTAACAGCTGGAAGGCACCAGTGACTGTGGCTGTTGAGGATGAACATACCCCCTGGTTCTGTTCAGTCTGTTTTCTGAGGAGAGTTTCTCTAAACAAGTTTAATTTTAAAGATCCAGTTGTCTCCTGACCTGGTCAAATGTATCATTGGAAAAGCAGCTATTTTGGCGCTACGTATGAACCTCCGGGGGCATACACTGTTCCTGGGTAGCGACAGGATTGCAAAGCACATGATTTTTTGTCAGGGTTCCCTTCTGGAAAGCCCAAGCCCTTCTGAGAAGGTTCCTCTGCAGCTGCTGCTCACCAGCTTGAGAGGATCCTGTGCTCAGGACTGGGGGTTTGACTTCGGGCTGTTTGCAAACTTACACTGCCACGAGTGACTGAGTGTCGTTGGATAAAATCACTTGAAAAGTTATACCTTTTTAATTTTATTTTGGAGTAAAACACTTAGCTGAGATTCTGAGTTCAGTTTCTTGTGCACCCAGACCTCCCGTTGGTACTGGGCTCTGGGAAGCTGTGATTTGCCATTGTGTTCAAGCAAGACCGAGGGACCTAATTTTGTCACTGCACCAGAACACCCATTTGTTGAATTACTGTTGTTACTATTTCTGCACAAATCATTTGTCCTGTCATTGGGGTGCGTGCTGGAAAAAACACAGACTGACCAATACTCTGTTTTTTAATGCAGAATTATATCTTATAGTCACTCAAATGTAATGTATATGTCTTTTTTTTAATTATTTTTTTTGGTCAGAATTGAAGGTAATTTTCCCAACTTAGGTTAGGAAATTAAAAAAGAAATATTTATGGGAAACTATTAAGATAGGAGTTGTGGAAGTGTGAGAAGCCCACAGGAAATTTTTATAATCAAGCTGTTGAAAAGCTTATTCCTTCAATAGAAAGCAGTAATGATTTTATTTTCCTCTCTCGCCGTACGGGAAGATGCCAATAAAGATCTTATCAGACCAACATGTCAAATAAAGGGATCCCGCTGGGAAGGGAGGGTTTCCTCCAGCAGCAGCAGTGGGGTGTCCCCTCCAGCCCTTCCCGTCCCTGCCCGTGCCTCGGCCGGGGCTCCCCGGGGCGGGAGGAAGGGATCTTTCAGCCGGGACAAATGGTGAAAATCCTGCTTCTGCTTCAGTGACCCGCAGCAGACAGGAGGGGATGGGGGACAGGGGGTTCTCTCCATGCATCTTTCTCTTGCTTTTCTGACTTTATGACAATTTCATTGCTTTTCAGGGTCTTGAGAGTTCATTTGGTTGTAGCGTTGTGCATTTAGAATTGTTTTTCCAAAATTATAATCAATTCTATTTTATGATTTGTGTGATTGTATTGTATGATGTTGTCTATTGTATGATATGTGTCTTCTAGTGGTGGCACTTTAGTACATTTTACATATACATACATATGCATATACAAAAAGGCATTTATTGAACTTTTTTTTATTTTATTTTCTCCTCTCTTTTCCTCTCCTTCATTGCCCATTATTTATTTTGAGAAAATGTGGTTGGTGAGTAATACCCATGGCAAACTGTCCCTAAAATAATACTCCATTTCTTTCTTTTCTTTCATTTCCTCTTTCCTTTTTTTTAATTTTTTAAGAGAGCTGGTCTTTTAAAGCCGGCAGAGGGTCACCCTGGGAAGTGACAGCAATTTCCATGGAGCCACTGTGCCAGGGAATAAATTGAATATTTGCAATTCTGTAGAACCGGAGTCTCTCAGAGGAATAAGTTTCAGGTCTTAAATCTTGGAAATATATTGTGAGGTGCTAATGGTTATTTTCTCTTTGCTTTGGATGTGCATTAATAATGCGTGTGTCTCATGACACCCATTCTGATGAAGGATTTAGGTGTGTTACTAAATTAATTGAAAGACAACTTTTTTTTTATCAGATTTTTTTTTTTTTTAATTTTAAATCTCTTCTCTGAATAAATGATTGTTTTAGGGAAGGATATTCTGTGTCTTTCATACATGAGAAAACCTGAGTGGTTTCTCCAAGTGTGAAAACAAATGTGGTGACTTCTGTGAGCTTCAGGGCTTTTTCTGGTGCTGACGGTGCCTCCCCGATCTTGACAACTTTTACTTGACTTATTTAGTCCGGCAACATGTTTAAATCCAAGCACATAAAAAAATCTTATGAGATGCACTCTGTACTACCGAGGAGCCGCATTTATTGCGTTTCAGTAAACTCTCCTGGGGAGGAAGTCGGTTCTTAACACTGATTTTTTTTTTTTTTTTTAAATCAATTGATACAACAAAATGGTTTAAAGCAGAGGTGACTTGCTGTGGGTGTGGGCTGCGTGTGCCCCCCCGACACGCTCTTCTGGGAGGGAAAAACCAGTTTGGGGATGGGAAGCTCAGCTGAAAACAGAGCATCTCTGCTTTGAGCCTTTCACTTCTTCCTGATGTTTATTTGGCTGCTGCCTGCAGTTACCCTGAAACAATGACAACTGCTTCTCCATCCCTGAAGCCCCCCGTGACAAACCTGCTCTTCTGTGTCTGCGCAGGGGGGTCCCTGCGGGGTCGGGCTGGGGGGGGCGGCTCGGGAGGAGGAAAAGGTACAGTCCTGGGGTGGTGTACAGTCCCGGTGTGTACAGTCCTGGTGTGTACAGTCCCAGTCCCAGTGTGGTGTATAGTCCCAGTGTCTACAGTCACAGTATGGTGTGCAGTCCTGGTGTGTACAGTCACGGTGTGGTGTACAGTCACGGTGTGGTGTACAGTCGCGGTGTGGTGTACAGTCAAACTGTGGTGCCCAATCACACTGTGGTGTGCCAGTTGCCCATGCGGTTTGTTTGATAACCCCCCCCTGGCACACGCAGGGAGCTGGAGCAAGCTGAGACTTGAATTTCTCTCTTTCCGGAGCCGACACACTGAGATATTCCATGCAGCCCTGGCCAATGCATTTCCTAAGAACAGGTTCTGTGCTTTTTGTTTTGTCACAAGCATTCTAAAGGGCTGACTTTGAAGCAGAGAATGGATGGAAACAGGGGTGTTTGTTCTGTGCTGCCCAAGACTTCCTTCAGCTTCTCTGTGATTTATGTCCTCTCCTTCAGCCGGGGGAACGGCGTCGTCTCTCAGCACATGAAAGTGTGGGGAGAGCTATAAATTGTTCTTACCTACACAAGTGGATCAAATAATAGTGTAAACTCTAAACCTAAGAGGAAGAAATGAGTGAGGGATCAATAGTAGCCTTTTTGTTTTAAATGATATTCAGAAATTGTTCTCAAAATACTCAACAGTCACATTTTTGAAACGTAGGTGAGGGAAAAAGCTGAATGGAATTGTTCAGACT